GCTTATGCAAATGAAGCCCGGGAAATTCAAATCCCGGGCTTCATTTGCAAGTGCGGTATGCCTACATTACCCTCCTAGTTCGAACTAGGAGGGTACTGTAGACATAGCCTCAGGGATCTCTGAAGAAAATGAACCCAGTTGTGTGGAAATTATTGGGGCAGAGGGAGAGAGTCAGGACACACTCTTCTTCAGAAGAGGTGCAGGAAGAAGACAACAGCTCCATTTTTGTACTGGGAAATGAGAGGTAATACATCCTGAAGCAAGAGTCAATAAGAAAGAGAAAAAGAGGGTCAGACTAGAAAGAAATGATGCTTCTGACTTCCTTCTCAAAGGCACATCTCTGCTCTATTGTTACAAGCTTTTCCCTTTATATTTTCTTCTCCTACTGTCTTTTGGGGGTCTTCTATTCAGTGCCTTAAGGATGAAGTCAACCCCTGCATCCTTTTTGAGGGCTTAAGTGATGTATAGGTCTTGTACTGACCTACTGCATAAGGCTGTATTAAACCTGGTACTATCTCTTGCATTATATTAACAATGGAAAACACAAATTAGGTATGCTATGATAAAAGGGAATAAGGTACCAATATAATGTCATCTGTTTAAAAAAAGACATTAAGTGAAGAAGCCATTCAATGAACTTCTCTCCTTGAAGAAAACTCAGAAATGTATGATGCACATGTTAATACTTCTCTTATTTCCTTGTGTAGGATCGTCGCTTTAATGATGAGATTGACAAACTGACTGGATACAAGACAAAGTCACTGTTATGCATGCCCATAAGAAACAGTGATGGAGAGATTATTGGTGTTGCCCAAGCGATAAATAAAATTCCTGGAGGTGCTCCTTTTACTGACGACGATGAAAAAGTAAGATTATATTTATTTTGTGTGTTCATTTGCCTGGTAGCTTGAGAAAAACTTCCCACTATTAAGGATCAAGTCTTCTATTTAGGGAGAGGAACCCACCTAATGAATGAATTTTTTCTTTATGGTATTACATTATCATAACGTGCTCTTCCCACATATCTTTTTTCTTGTGTATTTATTGTAAGTTTTGGGTCTATTCGTATTGTAAAATCAGTTTGTATCTTGCTTCAACAATATAAACAGGCTTTCTAATTGAGGATCTGTTCTCTCAGCTCTGCTTATACATCTGTGGAAGAGCTACTAACAAAGTACTGCTCTCCCATCCTTATGCTGAAGTGAATATAATTGTAACCCACAGCAGCAATGAGCTTGTTGCTTTCTATTAATGATGTGGTCGGGTCCCAGTGTCTCACTATTATCAGTTGGCATTTTTCAAGAAAACCAAAATTTGTGTATATGCTCTTTCATTTACTTCATAAAGACTTGAGGTAGGAATGAAAAAAAATCAAATGCTATATTTTTAAGATCTGATATCCTCACCACAGTTGATGGCCATGCTATAAACATGGTCTCATGTTATTTTGTGATTGCAGAAAATGATTATCCATAATTACAAATACAAATTTAACAACAAACATATTTCAAATCTTTAGGTGCCAACAAAAATGTGAATAACTTTTGAATAACACACATTTGCTTAGACTTTTTAAGCAGTCTAGTTGAATTAAATAGCCATATTAAATTGTAGGACATTTATTATTAATGATCTTTTAATTTTACTGTAAATTTGGTCTTTGACAAGATCCTATGGTTATATTCAGGTTAGACACTGTTTGCAAGATTTCCCAGTACTGTTATAATTGGTTCAGTTCTACTGATGGGAGCACTAGTGATCTAGGATTCTAAACGGTGTATTCTAGGTGGTGGACAGGATTGTAGGTAGCTAGTGTTTTAAGCATCTTAACCCCACCAAGCAAGTCTGCATGACATCGCTCAAAAAGCAGTGGCTATCCGGATTTTGTATACGCTAGAGTTGCCACCAGTGGAACTGCGTTAGTGACAGTACAGGTTGAACATCTCTAGGCTGGCACCCTCAGGACCTAAACAGTGCCAAACTAGAGAATTTTCCGAACCACGGGAGGTCACTATTATCTAGAAGCATTACCAACACTTCCACTGCTTACTGGTCTCTTATAATGATAGAAATGTAGCCGTGTTAGTCTGGTGTAGCTGAAACAAAAAACAGGACTAAGTAGCACTTTAAAGACTAACAAGATAGTTTATTAGGTGATGAGCTTTCATGGGCCAGACCCACTTCCTCAGATCAAATAGTGGAAGAAAATTGTCACAACCATATATACCAAAGGATACAATTAAAAAAATGAACACATATGAAAAGGACAAATCAAATTTCAGAACAGAAGGGGGATGGGGGGGAGGTAAATGTCTGTGAGCTAATGATATTAGAGGTGATAATTGAGGAAGCTATCTTTGTAATGGGTAAGATAATTAAAGTTTTTATTCAAACTTAGGCGTAAAGTGTCGAATTTAAGCATGAATGACAGTTCAGAGGATTCTCTTTCAAGTGTAGTCTTAAAAGGCCTTTGAAGCAGGATGCAGGTAATCACCTAATAAAGCTCATCACCTAATAAACCATCTTGTTAGTCTTTAAAGTGCTACTTAGTCCTGTTTTTTGTTTCAGCTCTTATAAGACATTTATGGGAAAATTACAGCTAAATAACAGCATGGAACACTGAGAGTCAGGACTGATAGCTGTAAGCAAACTATATGGGATCACAGGAAACTTTGCCATACTCATGACATGTGGACATCCATGTTCTTAAAATCATGCTGGACCCCGGATGTTGCCAGATCAGAGAGTGCCAGACTAGCAAGGTTCAACTTGTAGTGGGTAATTTTAGGAACAATTTCCTAATGTAGACAAGTTAGAGAGGGAGTGAACTTTGCAGAGGTTAACAAAAAGGTTCCTGCTTGTTAGGCAAGATGTAGTTTTGTACTACTATAGACAGCAAATTTAAATACACAATATTTTAATGCTAAAGGAAGAAATTAATTGTGGATTCGGTAATATAGCTAAAGGCCAAAAATACTCCTTTGCACATCTAGTGATACATATTGATATTCCTTCATGCAGCTGTCTCCATAGATTTCCCTTTTTGGAACTGCATGGACTCAAGATCGTTTAAAATATAATAGTCTAGAAGATGCCTTTTTCTGTAATATGTGGATAAGGCAGCACCCAACAACTTTTCATTTTCATTAGTTTGTTTGTCTTTGTCAATGATTATACTCCTTTGCACATCTAGTGATACATATTGATATTCCTTCATGCAGCTGTCTCCATAGATTTCCCTTTTTGGAACTGCATGGACTCAAGATCGTTTAAAATATAATAGTCTAGAAGATGCCTTTTTCTGTAATATGTGGATAAGGCAGCACCCAACAACTTTTCATTTTCATTAGTTTGTTTGTCTTTGTCAATGATTCCCAT